GGGTTTTTGCGCAAAAACAAATTAGAGTATGCAATGAAGTGCAAGAAAATGCTAATCCATGCTTCATTTGAATAGACTCATTTGAATAGACTCTTGCGGCAAATCTTGTAGTGTAGACGTAGCCTCAGAACACACTGAAAAATAGGCATAGCTGCTCCCTACCCAGTAACAGTTATAGACTCACATTTAATTTAGGACAAAACACTTTAACTGATATAGAAAAAAAGGAAATGCAGCTTATTCAGACTATTTTTCCATATGTCTTGGACCTACTTCTTTTATTCATCTATAAAACACTGCCAGATGCTAGCCTTGCATAAGTTTGATGAGAATCAAGTTTGGTTGTTAAAGGGAACAGTGTAGCTGTAATATATTTAGACTTCTATAAGGCATTAGACTTGGAAATGCCCAACATTTTGATTTTAAAACACATAGAATGTTATACAAATTAATGTTAAATATTAATGGATTAAACTGGCTGATAGGTCTCAACACGTAATTGTAAACAGGGAGTCATTACAATGGGTATGTTTGCAGTGGGGTCCCTCAGACTCCATTTTTGGTCCTATGCTATGTGACATTTTTAGCAATAACCTGGAAAAAATAATAAAATCATGACTAAAAGTTTGTAGATGATTGAAAAACTGGTTGAATGGTAAATAACAAAAAGCACAGGTCACTGATTTAGAGTGATCTGGATCTCTTGGTAAACTAGGTGCTAGGAAACAATGTGTGTTACAATATAGACAACTGTCTAGGAACAAAGGAACATACTTACATGATACAGGACTATCCTGGGAAGTAGTGACAGAAAGGTTATGGGAGAATCAGATGAATATGAGCTTCCAATGTGGTGCTGTGGTCACAAGAGCTAATGTGATAACTGGCATGCATCAATGGGGGAATTTCTGGTAGATTATTTCACTGCTGTATTTGGCACTAGTGTGACTGCTGCTGGAATATTGCTCCAATTCTAGAGCCCAGCATTCAAGAAAGATGTTGATAAATAGGAGAGGATTCAGAGAAGAGCCATGAGAATGATGAAAGTATTAGAAAACATGTTTTCTTGTAAGACTCAATCTCAGTTATTTAGCTTAATGAAGGTTAAGGGATTATTTAATTGTAGTCTATACTGTGAGGAACAAATATTGCCTGTGCGCCTCTGTATCTAGCAGAGAAAAGTATAGAACGATTCAGTATATATAAGCTGAAGCTAGACAAATTCAGACTAGAAATAAGATGTAAATGTTCAAAAGTGAATACTTGATCATTGAAACAATTTACCTATCTCCATCACTGATCATTTTAAAATCAAGATTACATTTTTTTCCTGAAAGGAATGCTTTAGGAATTATTTTGGGAAAATTCTATGGCCTGGGTTATATAAGAGGTCGGACTAGGTAGTCACAACGGTCCCTTCTTGCATTGGAAACTGTAAAGCTTACTCTTAATTTATACTAATCAGTAATTAAAACTATATCTCATATGTATAGGTTAACGTTGACCCCAAAACCAAACTACTGGTGGTTGTAACAGTATTAAAGATATGGGTGTAGGTAGGTATTTAAAACAAAAAACAAAAACACCACTACAAACTAGGTCTTCCAAAAGAACTTTAAAAACTAAAGCTTCAGATGGGTAGCTGAGTTAGTCTGTAACAGGAAAAACTTTAAAAAGAACAAATAATCTGGTAGCACTTTAAAAACTAACAATACATGTAGATGGTATCATGAGCTTTCGTGGCACAACTCACTTCTTTAGATGACCGGAGTGTTGGAACATCTGAAGAAGTGGGTTGTGCCCACGAAAGCTCATGATACCATCTACATGTTTTGTTAGTCTTTAAAGGTGCTGCTAAGACTATATGTTGTTTAAGTTTTAAAAACAAAGTGAAAAGTCTTTCCCAGAACAAGTTCTACAGTGGTATAGTATAAAGTAGGAGGTTGTACCAGATAATGATATGAAAAACCTAAGAAGCAAGAATAAAAATATAGCATGATCCTTGCAGCTCTGCTACAGATTAGTTACAATGGTGTTCTTACTAAACTTGCTACTGCAATTGTCTTTAAAGGATTTTGGGCAAATGAGAACTGCAGGACTAGAACACGTTATGGGGCAGTTGACATTCAGCTTTTTCTCTGACATGCAGCCAAATAATTAATAGTTAAATCTTAATGTGTTTGCTCCATTTCAATCACAAAATTATTTCTGACTGTGCAATTCTACTCAGTTTTATTTAAAGAATGAGTTTGGGGAGAAGGTCTAATCACACTTAATACAAAGAGACTATCTGTTTACAGAAAAGCAGTCGCTGGTAATATTCATCCTGATTTAGACGGCTAACGAGAATTTCAGGAAGCTATTCTATTAGCAGGAGGAAAAAGTCTTCCAGAAGAAGTTCCTGCAGGGGGACTTTTCCAACGCTCGAGGTTGATGAAAGGCAGCGCTTTCTTGCAGGTTGGCCAGCTTTACTTCCTCCTTCATTAGGGATGCATCATCCATCTGGGATATCCAGTCAGCCAGTAGAGAGAGGAAAGTAAGCAAAGTGCTTTTCTTTACATCTGTCAGTTCATGCAAGTACTTGTTTAAAAAAAAAAAAGAGAGAGAGAGAATTGAGACTTGTTAATCTTAGGAGGAAAGCTCTTCCAAGTGACAGAAAGAAGCCTGAAGTGTGGTTGAAAGGCACATTCTAGCACAGAAAGGAAGGGCACACTGCATCTATATCTGTACTCCAGAAACTGAGCTGCCCACTATTTCTGTGAATGTATTTCAGCAACACTGGGGCAAACTAGCAGCACGCAAAATCGTAATTTCTCAATTACTTTTTTTGCATGATGTGTCCAGCAGTGAGACAGTGCAGGGATGGAGAAACTCAGGCCCGGGAGCCGGATGCAGTCCTCAGCTTGCGTGAAACAAGCCCCCAAAGCTCAGGGTCCCCCTCAGTATTGGGGAGCCCATGCTGTTGCTCCACCGCAGGGATGGAGCTCACAATCTACTAGGCTGGGCCCCATTAGGACTCTGGTGTGCAAGGGGAATGTGTGGGGGGGTCTCTCCCTTCTCAGTTGGAAGCCATATCTGTGAAGTTTTTTTCCTTCTCACTTGTGTGCACCTTTCCCCCGACTGATTTTTCTGTCAGTCAGCAGCCCCTAACCCAAAAAAGGTTTCTTGCCCCTGCAGTAGCAGGATATTTCAGATTCATAGAACATGGAGTTCCTCATTTGAAAAGAGCTTTTGTTTGTCACAATATTATCTCTAACTCAACGTAATCATTCAGGCTTTATATGGAGAGACAGAGCTGTTCCCAGGACCATATAATGATATCCTCTTACAGGAATAGTGTCAACTGGAAATTTAATTGGTTATTAAGAAGAATGAAAAAATATTGTACTTGCCAATATTTTGGCTATACAATCGTCTTTCTTATATAATTATTTTCCCCCTATTGTGAGACCCAGGCATACATGCTGCTTATATAAAAATGTATACATATCAAACTGACTTTTTCTTCTCTGCTAAAATTTCAATTAATAGTAGTTTTGTTACTTGCCATAACAGGTATAAAAGACAGAAGTGTTGTTTTTTAATCTGTATCCTTTTAAAAAGTGTTAGTTTTCAACATCCTTTAAAAAGTCTCAACTAAATGTCAAGAGCTATCAGCTAATAAACTATCCAACTGCAATGCTGTAGCTTGTTCTATAATTTCAATGAAAAATCCTTTTTTAATGGTCAAGTTTATGTACTGATTCTTGGATCTTTTTCAAGAGTACAGTAAATCAAATACTTAAAGCTGAAAACTCTTTAAATGGCTAACTTAATTACTTTTTTTTAGAAACCAGTAAAAGCATTCAATTATCTTTATAAATTAAGGCTCTTTTTAATGTAGACACATATAGGCAGTTAAGTGACTACACCATTATGTTATTGGACTATTCAGTGCAGAGCTAGAGTTCTCTGTCTGGGGCTGACAAATCTCTTATGGCAAGATAACACTTTTCATTACAAATTATACTAACACACTTCAACAAACTGCAGTTCCATTGAGTTGCATGCACTTCTGGTGTGGAGGAAAAAGCAGCCAACTGACACAATAGTTGTATATGTGTTAGGAGAAAGGGGGAGTTTTTGGTCAGGGACAACTGGTCAAGCCATTATGCTTATTACATTTCCATAGGACTTTAATATGTCAGGGAAGTACAGACAGGACCCAATGTGGAAGGTGTCATCTAAATGATGTACAAACAAGGTAACGTAGTTATTGTATTGCTTTTAAAGGGAGGTCAGCCTTTGAGGAAATAGTAGTCCCCACTAAAGAAAGGAGCAGGATAAACAAGAGGAGGAAATAGAGGGCACAGAGCAGAGAAACGTGGAACTGCAACAAACCAATGCCTCGGGTTCTCCTGTTATTAGATCCTGCCAGTTTGAGTACCCTGTGCCCTCAGATGAGGAACTGTTGTTCACCTGGATACAGTACAAATAATAAGAGTGACAAGCATTATAAACATAATGGCTTTGTATCCATTCTTAGCTTACCTTGCCATCTTTCGATACATATCTTTCCTGTGTTGGACGTGCAGCAGCCCCCATCATTCTGGAGATAGAAGTCAGCAGAAGAAACAGGCAGAACAGTGGATGCATGTGGAAAACTGCCTGATCCAGCTCAGCAATGAGCTACTTCTCCGCTTTGCAAGTTATCTTTTCTTTCTTTGGAAAACTTCTAGTTCAGTTATTTTTATATTACAGCAGCCTCCGCCTCCTTCTCAACTCATGCAGTGATGGAGAAAATAGCAAAGAGCAATTAACTTCCCAATTTCCAGGGTCTGGATTTAACCCTTAATTAAAGCTTCTGGATTGCACTGCTATTAAGAGTGTATTTGCTGTTAATTTAAGCTGAATGTGCATTCCATTTGCTAAAAAAAAAACCCATCATTTCCTCACCATTATTCCGATAATGACCAGACAGTCTTGAGTACAAAATAGGGTGATTTATCTGCAAATGATTCATGAGAGTGGAATATGTGCATAGGTTTGGTGATGAGAGAGGCCACAAAGAGTCAATTTAAAGGCAGAAGGATTGTGTCTTATATGCTATCCGGAATGATCAAAGTTTAACTTCTAACATTCCAAGAATTCTCCACTGCAATAACCAACTGAAGTAATCCATTTCCAAAATGTAATCATTATTGCCATCAGAACAAACTACATCCTTGAAGTTGTTTCTTCCTTGTGGTCACCATGTCAGAAAGAAGCTGCTCTGGCTGAATATCCTCATGGAGTGAAAGACTCAGTGTTGCCAACTCCTGTAATATTTGGTGTTTTTCTTAAAGCCTGACTTATGGCCAAGTGTACCCTTCTTATAGTATTTCAGGAGGGAAGAGATAATTTATTCTGCATAGCTGTCCTCCCTGAAAACTCCAGCACTCTGAGCCAACAACTGTGGTGTGTCCTCATGGCAGAAAATTTTACCTTTCCTTGTAAACTGCTGGACAGAACCTAAAAACCTCATGACTGGTAGCAGTTATTTAGTTAATATTGGTAAATCTCTTTAAAATGCAAACTATTAAGTATGCAACTTAAATATTCTGGATACAGTCACAAACAAAAAATTTAACAGCTGAAATCTTCCATAGCTCACAGAAGATTAAATGTGCACAGCACCACATCAGAATTTCAGGGGAGCAGACCAAAAGGCAGATCAGCCTCAAAGCAATTCACTTCTATGGACTTTATAACTTCTTCCCCAGAGTAGCTAAATAAATAATCTGATTAAAAGCGAATAAATAAGACCAGTATGCCTTCAATGTTCTGTCCTTTAGTTCCAATTCACTGCTAGTGCTCCTTGATTCAAATTACATTCAGTCTGTCAAAAGTTCCAACTGTTGTTGCTTTGGGTTGGGGTGCAGGAAAGAAACAATCTTAAAACATCCAAAGTTCACCCAAAGAACTTCATGCAGATCCAAACTGCATCATTCCTCCTCTAGATGCTTTCTGTGGATGCCTAGCATTTTCAAAATTACAGTCTAGCTGCCTGTTAGCATCTTCAAAGAACTGTTGTGATGCTACTGCTCACTTTTGTGAAGGGGATGTGGAAGACTTTGAAAATGATATAGCTACACTTTACAGCACTATGGGGAAAACAGCTCAGTTGTTTAATTATAAGCAGTCTCAAACTTGTTTTTAAAAAAGCAGAGCCTCAAGCTTCTTTTGAGGAGCATTAAGTCTGCAGCCACGGTCCTAGGAGGACAAGCCACCATTGAGACTACTTGGGCAGCTCAGGACAAGTCTCGTTATCATAAAGCTATGAAGCAGTTAAAGATAACTTCATGCTGAGTGAGTGCAGTCTGACATTCCTCACTCTGGCTGGGGAGTACAGTGGCAGATGAACCTGGACCTGTCCCAATCTGGGGAAATGCACCCCACCCCCAACAGTGCCTGCTACAGCTGCAGTGATCATGGAAAGTTGCTTTTCACCTGGCCCCAATCTGCTGCTGTGATAAGGAAGGGCTGGGGTAGTCCTCTCACCCCAGGGAAGCCTGCATACTGAACCTCTCTATCCCAGACCAATGATTTAAGTAAAAAACAAAAAATTAAGTTAAGGACCTGAGCAACAACGGGTAAGTCTTCTAGTAATTATACACCCAAGCAATTCATTCAACATGTATCTCTTCCCATAAAAACAAGACAGGGAAATGAGGTCTATATTAATTTGGGAAAGGCATCTGATTGGTACATTCAATGGTGGAAGCCCAAGGATTCATTTTATTTACTGTTATATAGAAGTTTTTAAATCATAGAAATGTAGGGCTGGAAGTAAGGTCACCAAGTTCAGGCCCCTACACTGAGGCAGGACCAAGTAAACCTCCTAGACCATTCCTAACGGGTGTTTGTCCAACCTGTTCTCATAAACTTCCAATGATAGGGGAAACCTATTCCAGGTCTTAACTACTCTTAGATATTTAGAAAAATTGTTTAACCAAAATCTTTCTTGCTGCAGATTAAGCCCCATTACTTCTTGTGTGACTTTTAGTGGACATGGAAAACAGCTGATGTTGTCCTCTTTATAACAGCCCTTAAAATATCTGAACACACACTTTTTAAAGGACATACATTTAAAAAGCACAAGACCAGCGTGGGGGAGAACTGGGCACAAGCTGGTAATGAGCTGTACTGGCTCATGCCCAGTCCCTTGCTGCACCTCTGCCTACTCTGTCCCCTGCATATGCTTATCAGATCATCCACTAGTCGCTTCCATCCCTATTCAGAAAAGGGCACAAAAGAAGCTAGCTCCATCCCCCTGTGTATTAGAATCAGAATAATTATTTGGAAGTAACTCTAAATCATTGATCCCATTCATCGGTAAACATGTTTGTGTACATATCCAATAATAATCCAGTGCTATATTTGACCTTAGCCAGAAGGTCTGGCACTAGCAGAGATGAAGAATCTTAGGATAAGTTGTCAGTATTTTTTATTTCATCTAAACACAAAGGCTCAAAGTACAGCTTGTTCATCGTAATTAAAAGTAATTTTACACAAGCAATTTCACTAGACAAAATAATGCAGAAAAATATTTTAATAGCCAAAAGGAATGACAACCAAAAGTTATGACTGAAATATGTTTATACCTTTCCACAAAGGAGCAATCAACAAGCGTGGAGGAACACAATTCACACTTGTAATTTGAAGAAGAAAGATTGCCAGAAAGAGCCCCTCACAGTCTCTAGATTCTTTTACGTGGTTAGGTAAAAGATATCTTGCTTTAGGGCTCATCTAGACTTTGCGGAACAATCGAAAGAGGATATGCAAATTCCGCAGTGAAAGTAGTTTAGACGCAGCAACCCCCCCCCTGTCGAAAAGCCGCGTAAACCTCATTTTTGAGGAAGAGCAGCTTTTCAACAAAGGTGGGAGGATTCGCCGAAAAAACTGCATCTAAACTACTTTCACTTTTGAAAGCTCTACTTTTGAAAGTGCGATCAGAAGAAGATACACAAATTCCTGCAGAATTTGCATATCCTCTTTCGACTGTTCCACGTAGTCTAGATGAGCCCTTAGAGTTGCAAGCACTCAATAATAAATTATCTTCCAGGAAACAAACAAACAAAAAAACCCCATGAAAATATGGCAATACTATTTTATCTTTTAAACCTTCCTTTGATGACCTCTAAAAAGCTTTTGGTATTGATTCCTGTTTTTTGCAGGTGGAATTAAAACATTAATTATGTTCACCTATAAGACTAAGGACTCAGTGCTTAGCTACCCTCCCAAAGGCAAATCCCAATGGAGTTACAATACAGATAGACCGCAGTTGTTCCCCAAGGATAGTAATGAATCCTTACTGCTCCATACTACAAAACAAATAGCAAGTATAAAAGTGGTTTTAAGAGGAAGATCATGCCATATTGGAATCCTCACTCTCAGCTATACCAGCCTCCATCTGCTCATCAGAGGTGGTTCTTCCTTTTGCTGCACTGGACTTTTTTTTCTTTCTCTCCTTTTGTTCCAGATTATTCAATGCAAGCTCTTCACTCTTCTGGGTGATGTACCTTAGCTAACAATAGAGAATTAATGTGTATTCTGTTGGGGACGCAGCCTGTTCTCAAGAAACCATAAAAACAAGCTGACCAACTTCCTGTCTGCAGACAGAAACATCCCATAAATCTGAAGGGCCAAGCATCAGCTGACCTATTTTTTGGACGAAGCCTTCATTCTCAGTTGAATTTCTAGGATGTAGAAACATTCTACAGAGCTGAGACCCTTGGCTTTGATACTATACCCCCATTCCTTGGTTAGCACACAGCTATGTTTACACAAACTTACAGCTAACACAATTATGGTTCCAGTATGGAACACCATAATCTTGTTTCCTCTCAGACACTCTGTGCCCAATTAAGTTATACTGCATCTGGTAGTTAGGAATATAAAATAAAGCTCCAGTCCTCACCAACTCTTCTGAGATGAACTTGGGTCACATGTTCCAGATTGAAGGGAAAAAATTACTTGGATATAGATAAATATTCCACCATCTATTGTTTTTATGCAGATGCTCTTGGGAATATTTATGTAATTTATTAGGAGCAAAATGGAGGGAGGGAAAGGAGTTAATCTTACCAAAGAGTTGCTTCTCCTGGCCAAAAGCTTCACATCCTCTGTATTGATTATTGTTCGTTTTCCATGCCTGTATAAAATAAAAATAAAAAAGCCTGTAATATAAGCTCTGTAGCAAAGAGGTGTTAAAACGCTAAGTAAAAACATCTGTAAAAAGGAGCGCTCTCACCTTTATCTGACCATCTTAGAATGAGATAGACCAGCAAGAGTCCCCATCCACTCTTATTTATGATAATAGGTGATATTTAGACAGCACCTTTCTTTATATTCAAGGGTCTCAATGCTCTTAACAAAGATGGATATTATCCCTATTTTGCGACCCTTAATGTACTAAGCATTTCACGGAAGACATAAAAAAAGTCAATCCCATGCCATAAAGATCTTATAAGCTAAATTGACGAGGATAATAAGAATCTGGAGTTCAAATTGCTTGTCTAAGGGCTTGTCTACTCTAGCACGTTTTGCCAACAAAAACTGCTTTTTGGCAACAACTGCAATGCAACTTTTGTCAGGAAAAACACCAGATAGTTGACTAGTCACTTGCATCCCTAGTGCGGGGAGGGATAGGTAGGAGCTGGTACATGGAGGGAGCATGCTTAAAAGCCAGCTCCCACCTGCTCCTCCCCCAGTGCTGTTGCCTCTGAGAGGCAGCATCATGGTGAGGAAGGGAGTTGCATGTAACCATGAAGATTAACTGATGAGGCCAGGATTATCAGTTAACCTTTTAAACATGTACACTGTCACATCCCTGGAAGGTATACAGCATAACTAGACAATTCAGTCCATTGTTTAAGAGGGCTTTTGGGTCCTAGCTGATGCTAAGCTTTTACATAGCAGCATCTATGAGAAACATTTTCTACCATTTCCAGTTGTCTATGTCTGAATCCTAGCTAGTCACTATTTCTAACTTTGGGTCTATAACTCTGAGCCTACGAGTTTGATCGAACATCAATCCTTGAGATGTGTGATGCTTCAATCCAGCTACTAGACCCTAAAACCAGTGGCTTATACCTACTTAGTCTCCATTCACTCACACATGTTCCCTGAGAGTTCCATCTGAGCTGTGGGCACTTTGGCTTATGGTTTACCCCCTCTGTGGACAACATGGCATGAAAGCAAAGAACACGGGCTCAGAAAGGAAGGTCTTAACCACAGAAACTTTTCTCTTAAAGCACTCTTGGAAAACAACAGAAAGTCCTGAGACATACCCTGCCCTCATCTGATTTTCCTTATCCTGCAAGTCTTTATTACACATCATGACAGTCGGCCCCCTCCACCCAGAACAGGACCTCAATCTCTATGCCATGTACTTAAACTGAGAAGCTTTGCCTCTTTCTTGTGGGCCCCTACGTAGGGAGACCACTGTTCCATGGGTTGAGACAATTAAAATTAACAGCCTTAGATTGCAGTCGTGATGGCTTTTCAGTCTTTCAACAAGATGTTAATCATCTTTCTTGAGCAGTGAGCATGTCCAGGACTGTGCAGTTACAGTGCCCGAATATTTCCACACATAGTATAAAGTAAGATCATAAATTCATAATTGGACATAAACATATCCCATTCTGTCACATTCACCAGTATCCATTTCAAGTGCAAGGCACATTTCTTCAATTAGCTTTCTCTAACACAAACACAGAGTAGCATGCACGTATTAGTTAAAAAAAATGACCCAAATGTTACACACAATTTCCTCTCTGGGAAGAGAATGAGACAGATGTTAATCACATCACCTAATGGTTTAATGCCGTGGTCACCAACCAGTAGATTGTGATCTACCGGTAGATCTCGGAGGCTCTAAGAGTAGCTCTTGAGCCCTCTCTGAACTGTGTGCCTGCGCAGTACATTTACATTAGATTTCCTCATTTGAGGAACAGCTACTCTTCGAGCAACAGCACAGGTGAGTAGCTGCGAGGAATGGTGGAAATTTTTTTTTTAAAGTAGCAGTATAAGGACTGGGGATAGCAAGTGATGGAGAGGAGGAGAATAGAGAGGGCGGGGCTTCAAGGAAGGGGCGGGGCGGTAGATCTTGGCTTGGTCTGTCATTTAAAAAGTGATCTTGGGTGTAAAAAGGTTGGAGACCACTGGGGAAGGTGCTCAGATTCTGCAGTGACAATAGACGAACCTATATAGAGCAGAATCTGAAAATTGGCACCTCAAACAACGCAGCTCCCTCTTAACATCATGTTGAGTCAATATTGATTCACAGTGCCACCTACTGAATCCCCAGCACCACTTTAAGCTCCCAAGTTCAGACACCCCCATACTACTAAGCATTCAGAGCTTGTGAGTCATCTAGTCCCACTCAGAGATAAAGCATTTCCCTGTCATCTGAAGACACCAATTTAAAACCATTCCTTCCAGTGATCCAGAAAAAGAAGTGTGCTGGCAGGCAGGTAACCACATGGGCAGACGATGTAATGCTGCAAGGGGAATGCCTCAAGAGAACATAAGAATGGTTATACTGGGTCAGATCAAAGGTCCATCTGCCCCAGTAGCCTGTCTGCTGACAGTGGCCCATGCTAGGTACCCTGGAGGGGATGGACCGAAGACAATGACCAAGCCATTTGTCTCGTGCCATCCATCTCCAGCCTTCCACAAATAGTGGCCAGGGACACCATTTCTACCCCCTGCCTCTCTTCATATGGGACCTGTTCCAATGCGAAAAGAAAAATCAGGAGAAAGCAATTGTGACAGAGGTGTCCCCTGTAACACAGAACAAGGTGTAAGGCAATGTGTGGAGGCTGCAGAGGGATGTTTAGAAACAAGGCCTTGGAAGAGCAATGAAAGTAAAGGTATAGCTAGGGGTGAAGTTGTGCAGGTTTCGATGTTGGGGACAACAAGCCTGAACTTGATTTTAAAGACATGGGATTCAAAGAGGGGAATGACAGTCCCAGCAGCTGGGAAAAAAGGCAATTTTAGTAGTACAGATTGAATCTCTCTATTCTGGCACCCTTGGGACCTAAGTTCCCTGTAAGCTGTGCACTTGTGCAGCTGTTTTCTGAGCTACGCTCAGAAGATCAAAAGTCCCACACAGGCAGGGCGCTCCGAAGACTGATGGTAAGTGGGATGTCATCTTGTTAGCAAGTAGCTAAACAGAGCGTCTCTGTGTTTGAAATGGAACAGCTCCCAGAGCAGGTAAACGGAGATAATAAGTGAATGGGGGGAAGGGGGAGATGAGGAGGAGGGAGGGAGTGATTGACTGGCTGAGGTGGAGTCAGAGGGAAGGGGAGTTTGGAGAGTCCCATCTGCTAGAGGTGAGAGAGGCAGAAACTCAGCACTCTCAAGCCTCTTAGGAAGGGGAAGATAAGGGGCTGACTGCATGGGATAGATGGGAGAAGGAGGGGGGCTGCTGGCAATAAGGTGAAGTGAAGGTGGGGGGAGGTGTGGATAATTTGTGTTTTGGCTGGAAGTTAGAACAGGACAGACTGCTGGTGCCTGGGCTAAGGGGAGCAGATTGCACAAGGACAGGTCAGGAAAAGGGGTGGATGGGTGCTGGCAACTGTGCAGTGAGGTGGGTGGGAGGAGGGAGTTTGTTTGGGGTGTCCAGGACTCACTTGCTGCACTCCTCTCTGTCTGTCTGGGTTGGAGGGGGTGTTGGAAACAGGCTGTATCGGGTGGGTGGATGCCAAAACATTTGCACAATTACATTTCAAACAAAGTTTATATTGGTATTAATGGCTTAAGGTAAAAAAAAAAAAAGACTGTTTTAACAGATTTTTTTGGAGAGTTGCAGATATCTCAAACACTGATCTTAATGAATTTTTTCAATACTGTGTTACTGATTCATACATGGTATATTTGATTTCATATTAAATATTGTAAGCATTGCTCCCTCTTAAGCCCTTGTTTTAATATATTTTCTTCCACACTATGAACTGCTTAAAAGCATGTGTTTTGTTTGTATTGCTGGTGCATATCCACACAACCACCTCAATACTGATGTTGCGCCTAAGAGATTTCAAACCACTCAAGGATAGAAAATGTTAAAGGGAACACTGTGGGACCTGAGTGGTGTCCAACCAGAGAATTTGCCAAATCACGGGAGGTCAATATTGTCTAGCAGCATTACCAACTCTTCCACTGCTTACTGGCCTCTCAGAAGACATTTAAGGGTAAATTAGAGCTAAATAACAACACAGAATAGTGAGAGCCAGGACTGGTGGCTGGGAAGCTTGGTCAGACCCATGGTAAGTGGACATCTGGCTAACTAAAATAATGTGGGACCATGGATGTTCCCGGACCAGAGAGTACCGACCGGACTAGAAAGGTTCACCCTATACTGCTTTGTACAAGCAGAGGAGTGGCAATAATCAAAGGGATGCTGTGAGAACAGAGATACAAGGATGCTTGGGCACTTATAAGAGTAGAGTTACAGATACCCATAGTTTAAAGCAAATACACAGATGACCCAAAACAGATTTTAAATCCACAGGGTTTTTGTATACAGAATACAGTTGGGAAGAAAGGTTGTTGGCACCAAACCTGACTTGACGATACACTGAACTGCTTCAGCTTCTACAGTCTTCAGTCATTCAGATGGTTTAACAAAACATTCAATAGCAATAATTTTCTGTTCCACAGTTCTAATGGAACAAATAAGCATAAACCACAGGCACATCACACAACACCAGTTTTACAGGGTGAAAACAAACTACCTATTTATCCATTTTTCAAGGAGCATTATTCACTGTTAACAAACACAGCAAAATGATAACCTCTGACTGTGGATATTGTGCTGTACTTATCCATACACCTGCACGCAACTACATTAGAACACAAGTCACACACAAAGCTACGCTCAGGAAGCAAGCTCAATACCAGGGCTTTATTATCTTCTAGGAAATGTATTTATCTTGTATTGTGTATGTTTTTTCCATCTTTGGTACAAACTGACAAAGCAATTCTGAGACCAACAGATAGGAGGGGGAAACAACAAGCTACAATATTATCCAGAGTTCTTAAAACACTATTCACATCCATTAAACAGTTTGAGTCAAGCACTCAGAAAACTTTGGAAAATGCACTGACAGGTATGAATCATCATTACCAATACAGACAGTGCACTAGGATTTAAAAATTATTAAACTCTCAACCCCAACAAACAAAGACTGAATAAAAGCTGCATTCTAATTCAGCAAAGCTTCAATATCTGTTACCTAAATGTCTGTTACCACAATCAACTACTAAATGAAAAGTAGGTTGGACCCCTTGAAACATATAGAAAGGTAAGAAGTTCTCAGATACAATGGGAAAGGGGGATAGGAAAGAAAGGTCATTCTGTATCCCAACATAGCAACAAGTGAAGAGCAAAAAACCAAGACTGTAAGAACTAAGTATTTCTGCAGTGCCTACCTTGCAAACATTTCAAGGTCTTTTGCAAAATTTTCTGAAAGAAAAAAGTTAAAAAAATACATTTTACACAGCTGAAAACACTTTCTAAAGTCAACAAGATTAAATCTGTTTCATTTCTATAGCAATTATGGTGGTAAATAATGTTACATGTACAGAATTTTTGACTAAAGCATTTCCGAAAGTACACAAACAACAATGCTGAAATACCACCATCCCTAGGCATGAAGGGCACCATCCCATGCAAACAAGCAGAGCAAAATATCACATACAACAGCATAAGGATGTTAAAACGCAGTTCATGGACTAGTCAATGGAATTTCCATCGACTAGTCGATAGGCACTTCCGCATTCCTCCTTTGAAATGTACAAGAGCCCCTGCTGGGAAGTCCTGCTGACTCGGGGCTGCCTGCTTTGAAATGCACAAGAGTCCCCAAAGGGGGTTCTTGTGCATTTCAAAGCCATGGAGCCTGGGGTCAGCGAGGGACTCACAGCATGCCGCTAGGAGCCCGGGGTCAGCTGGGGAGTCCTCAGCTGAACCCAGGTTCCACGCGGCACTTCCCCGGAACCCAGGGTCAGCTGGGGAGTCCCCAGCTGATCCCAGATTCTGGGGAAATGCTGCAGGGAGCCCGGGGTCAGCTGAGGACTCCCCAGCTGGCTCTGGGCTCCACGGCAGCTACTCTTTTAAAATGTGCAGAGACGGCGTTTTAAAAGGGCAGTGTGTGTGTGTGGGGGGGGGGGAAATCAACTAGTTAAAAGACTATCCAATAAGTAAATGATTATTGGATAGTCGACTAGTGTTTAACATCCCTGCAACAGTATAGGGAGATTATGGATATTTTTGGATAGGGTCAGTGTTCCCTATAAGATGGGTGCTTGTGCAGCCACTCAGGAAAGATTTAGATGCCACCCAGCTGATTAGCAGGGCACATAAAACTATTCTACACGTGGAAAACATTAGAGGGAACATTGATCAGGACACCAAGGCGAGTCTTTGTACATTATTATATAATAGCAATAAACTACTGTTACAGTTTTTGCCCAGGAACCTTTAATATCCATACAGAGCAAAAAGGAACTCACATTTTTAAGATTTCAGTTTGAAAGACACATACAGCAAAATTGACTTTGCAAGTATGATGGATTGAATTGTTCTGCTAGAATTTGAACTGTGGTTCCATGAGTTTAAGTATTACAGTCTTGGATATTAGACCCTTAAGACATATGCTTTGACCAAACAGCTATGGCTAATATCAAGTGATTAATGTTTATAAAAGTCTGTTAAGTGTGAAACATTTTTATCATTATTTGTGACACTACTGAAGTGGCCCAATGCACATTATGGCTCTATAGCAGAAGATGTACTTGGGGAGAAAACGACACCTTTTGGGCCTAATACACCACTGTTAAAAGAACCACTATTGGAGCTTGGAAATGCATGCGAAGTACCCATGGCCTTTGTTTTCTGTTTTGCTTTTTACAAGCATTCCTTTAATTGTATTTATTTAAAAAACTAGATATAAAACAGCAATGAAGCCTATACATAACTATCTAATTATGGGGAGAAATGAAGAAATAAGTTGCCTTGATAATCAGTCCCAGATCAGAGAAATGCCAAGCAAACATAAGCTTCCCCAGACGGCCCAAGAGTTTATATGCTTCAGCATTTATAATGTTAGAAGAAGTGCAGAAAACACGGTTTCAAGAGACTGAATGGCTGCTTACACAATAAGAAAGACAAGCTTCATTCTTGCAATTAAAAAAGGCTGTCTCTGCTTTACACTATCAGGCAAGAGCCAGCACAACCATGTCATGGGTGCCAACCCCATGGGTGCTCAAGGGTTGGGGCACCCATGGGGAAAAGTTAGCATCCACCAGTGCCAAGCTCCCCTCTCTTCCTCTGATGCCTCTTGCATGCCAGGGGCCCCTTTAACTACTCCTCCCTTGCTACCCAAGGGAACACCATGAACTGCTGATTTATGCTGTTCAAGAAGCTTCAGGAGGAGTGGGGTTCAGATGCACATTGTGGAGGAGGCATGGTGGGGAAGGGGTGGAAGAGGGCAGAGCTCGGGGGAAAGATTGGAATGAGGGTTGGATGGGGGTCGAGCACCCCATGCCTGGAGGATAGGTTGGCACCTATGAACCATGTTATCTGGAACTATTATCAATATACATTCTTGAAGCCAGTTTCTTAATGTGGACCATTTTGTTGCATAGATGAGATCATACGTGAGATTTCATATCTGTAGTACCCCCTTCATGCCAGGAAAATAAAATTAAATAGTTCTTGCACTCTTTAAAAATGATCCAAGACACAGTCTACACTCCTTACATCTAATTTTAGTCCTTACATCTAATTCTAGTTCAATTTAAAAAAAAATACTTAATATCCACTGATTGTTTCTACTTACAAATACAGCATAGATATGTATGGACATACCACATTGCCTGAAGGTGATCTCTGAAATAGCTGCAATGCTTTGTTTGCTAAACTGAATTTCTTTATCTTCTGCAACTTCTTGGCTTAAACAACCAACAGTGTAGTGAACTGCAGCCTTTAGCCTCTGAAACAATCCGAAACAAATTATGCTGTGGACTTTTCATACCAATACACCATTTCTCACTTAAATTATAAAGACACATTTACAGACTGAAACAATACAGAAGAAAATTATTGCAATGGCACGTTTATAAAGCATGCAGTGCCTGAAGTATGTATAATGCTTTAAAAAATGGATTCCGCTATCTTTTAGGGTTACAATCTAAATTAAATTGGGAGAAAAAACAGGATGGGAAAGGACAAGAGAGACAATATAAATTATTCTATTACCAGGAAAGCTCTATACACCTTAAGGATACAAAGACTTTTAAACAAATTATTAATATTTATTACTAAAATATTCAAGTAATGAATGTTCAATCAAATCACAGCATCAGTGACACCTTGCCCATTGCTTTTCCATTACAAATTAACTTTGATATTTTCTGTTTACTTAGGCTTGACCCAATACAATTTTTTTGTTTTTAATTCACAATTAGCTCAAACTGCCTTTGTACTGTAACTGTATACAAAAGTAAATACTCTTTATTGGCCCAGTCCAGGAAGATGCTTAGCATCTTTACCTCCTAATAACTACATTAGGAGTTGCATATGCTAAGAAGCCCTTAGGACATCCTTTGGGCCTCATCCATCTGGCCCATACTTTGCCAAGATGCTCAAAGCTATTTAGGCTCCTAACTTTCAATTATTTGCACCTCTCAGGATCTGAGTTTTATATACTTATACAGAGCTTGCCACTCTGAAGACTCTGAGATTACCCACAGTACTAAGTAGCAGGTGGCAAGTGACCGAAGAATCAAGATTTGAATGTAGGTATATGCTCTGTCCAATAGCCATAACTTAATTTTGTGGGAGAGGGCAAAAAAAAGCACAATAGTAAAAACCTAAGTTGAAGATGCTCAAAGCCTTTTCACACTGTTGAGACATACTCATTTTTAAAGGCTGGACTTTTGTTTCCTCTGGACAGTTTGACTCTAATTCGTTTCTTCCATTGGGAAAATGAAAATTTAGGACTTGATTTAGGTTTGGGAGGATGGTCTTCCCAACAATGAATTGTATAACATAGAACCATTTATTATTATAGAAGAAAAGGGCCTACTCTTGTATCAGTTCAGACACTGGCATAACATTTGTACACACTATCCCACAGTGGAAGTGTGTGGGAAAGAAATGGAGGGAACATAATAGCTCTAAAAAGGGGATTAAATGACATTTTTTAGGGTATAGAGCAGTCTTTCGTGTAAGCCACCCATGGGAAAAATTCAAATGCCACCCAGCTGATTAGTAGACTACCCACAGCTGGCAGCATGGTGGTGCACATCTGCATATGCCTCCCTGCACATCAACATTATTGTGAACATGGATGAAAAAAAATTACAGGGAACATTGTTATAGAGATTTTCAGAGGTGAAACTGGAAAACCTGCCTCTGTATCAGAGAGGGGATCTCGAGTCTCTGAATAGGGTAGGAAGGGAACCCACCAGGAGGGAGGGATGGGGGAACGGACAGAGCTACCTCCCAGCAGCAGACTGCACGGGGGCGGGACCCCGGCCAGTTGGGCGTGGAACTGCGTGCCCCGAGGAATGGCGGGGAGAGGTGAGGCGGGGCAAAACGGAGGCGGCCCGGGGTATTTGGGGAGGAGGAGAAGCAGGCCCCGGGCGGAACGGCGGGTGCCCCCCCAGGGGCTGTGTAGGGAGCGAGAGAGACACTTGGGGGCGGTGCCACCCATGGGATAAAAGCGAAGGGGCGCCCCTAAAGCGGGGAGGGAGGGGCTCACCTCGCCCTATACCTGAGTGTGTAAGAGGCGCTCGCGCTCCGGCTCCCCCTCCGGCTCCATGGCGCGCCCGGCCTGTTGCTGCCGCCTGCCCCGGCGGTGTCCAAATCTCCCGCCCAGCGCCGCGGGGGCGGGGCCGCCAGCGGGCGGGAGGGAGGCGGTGCCGCTGACTCGGCCTGCCGGAGAAAGTGGGGAGGGGAGCTGTGGGGGGAGCCTGTGGCCATGGGGACGGGAAGAGAGGGGAGCACAGGGAACGTTTTTGTATAAACCCGGCTCCCTGTGTCGCGGTCTAAGGTTTTACAGTCGCTACAACACTCTTGGCCTCAGCAATACACAACAGCGTAGACAGGGATTTCCCTACCCCCCATGGGGGTGTATCCCCCCCCTGAATGTCTCCAACACCCCCCCCCAGTATTGTGAACTATGGTGCCATACAGCCCACCTTCCCCCTCACGGTGTCACCCCTCATCAGCCCTGACACCCCCCCTTGTAAATTCAACCTCCCCCCATTTCAATTCCTGGGGAGGCTACTGGCAGTAGGCTCCCCTAGGGCTCATGAAGATGCATGACAGTAATCCCATTTCAAATGTGCGGCTTGTCACAGTTCCATTGGCCTTGTATTGAGACGTAAAAATTCACCTCAGGTCACTTCACACTGGCACTGGCGTAACATTTGGGGCCGGTGGCACCCCTCACATTCTGCCCGATTCTGTCATATCCCCTTTTCATCTCATCTGTAAGCAGGTTCTAACCTTTTCAATCCCTCTTTCCAGTTCAAATCTTTCCATTTTGGTCTCTCCCCTCGTTTTCGAAGTTAAAACGGTCTCCAGTCAGACACACCTTCACTAGCCACCAGATGTCACCATTTTCCTATTCAATAAGTTTTAACAATTTCATAACATCCTGTATTCCTCTCCTGGGCCTGAATTTTAATTTTAAGAAAGCATGAAGGTGATAATGCTGTGGCTCCCCTTGGCTGCAAATGGTAAATGGCTCCGTGGCTGTGGAGCTGGTACAAACCAGAGTGGTCCAGTAGCTGCGTGCTCAGATCAGTCCAGAGACCACTTTGAGAAACACTGATCTAGATCAAGGAGGATACACAGTTTTGGCTCCATGGTGCTGCTGAGGGGGAAAGAAGACCCCGACTGTGCCCTATTTTACCCCATCTTCTCAACACAGCAGTCCTTTCTTTGGTTGCATCTGCTCCTATTGCAGACCTGCCCAACTCCGAAAGCGACGAGGGCCATATTACTCCAAAGAAAACAGCTGTGGGCTGCAAGTAGGGATGCTTTCCCCAAAAATACCAAACACGCGGCTAAAAATTTTTGTTGAGCCAAACAAAAACAAAAATGCATGTCTCCACTTGGCCCCCTGGCATTTGTGTCTCCTTCATCCTGCCCCTTGATGTCTTCCCCTTTCTCCTAACGCACCCTCCTCCCCTCAGCACAAGCCCCTTCCCCTCCCCTACCAGGTGTCTGCTAGCATCCCGCACTCTGGCTCACGCCCTACCTCCTCGCGCCAGAGCTGTACGAAGGCAGTCCGGCAGCAAGAATCGCTGCACTTCCCCCTTCCCAGCGGTGCTCCTGCCCTGCCGGCGGATCAGATGAGGCCGCGCCACCCGTAGTTGTCACGGGCCCCACAGTGAGCCCCTGTGGGCCGCATGTTGTGCAGGCCTGTCCTATTGGGTAGAATGTATGGTTCCTCTCCACAGAGCACATTCAGTGATTTGAAAGAGAGAGGAAGAACCATTTTAAGGAGAAGTAATGAAAATAAATCCTCTTTACATCAATAGATGGAGCATAGGGACTAGCTGGTTACATCTTTGGTTAACATTTTTTTTCCCGGGGTGAAGAACTTGACATATTAGCTCTGTTTCCCCTTTTATGCCTATAGCGCTCACTCATCTGGCCTTTCCTAGTCATTCTGATATTGAGTTCTGCTGTGCTTTTTGCTACACCTTCTGATTTGGTATCCCCTGTAAATTTGAATCAGACTGGATTTATGCCAAAGAAACACAAGGCAAAGACATGAAGTTGCCACAGCCATGCAGGCTGCAAATAGGTAATTGATTAAGGAAGCCTCTGCAAAAATCTACAGCAAGTCATGGCTACAATACTAGCAGGAAGTACAGTATTAGGCTTGAAGATGCTTCATCATCATGACATCGATGGGCCATCAAACTGAAGTGGTGGGTTCCCTAAGAAAACCTGAAGCACAGAGAATTGATCCACAGAACCATTTAAGAACCACTGTCTTAGGTATTTCATGGGTCTTCAATCATTCAGTAGGATTACAGTGAGAGTTATGGTATCCCAAATAGCATGTACAACTCTTGGTACAGGTCTGTGCTCTTATCACTGGTGAATATGTCAGACACCAGTATTCAACAATGGATAATTAAATAGGAAGACAAAGGAGCACTTGACACTCCTTCCCCCAAAGTGGAGTGTTGTGAGCAAGACACAAAGTCATTCTTCCACTCCACTCTGCACTGATCAGGCCTCAGTTGGAGTATTGTGTTCAGTTCTGGGCACCGCATTTCAAGAAAGATGTGGAAAAATTGGAAATGAACCAGAGAAAAGTAACAAAAATTTAAGGCCTAGAAAACATGAGCTATGAGGGAAGACTGAAAGAACTGGGCTTGTTTAGTTTAGAAAAGAGAAGCCTGAGGGTGCATCTACAGCTCCTTAAACTCAAAATAAGATACGCAATATGCGCAATTGAATTTCAAAATAGGCTATTTCGAAATTTGGTGCATCTACAGTGCTAAATTTTGAAATAATGCGCTATTTCGAGACATCCCTTAACCGTCGTGGAATGAGGGTTACCGGGTTGCCGAAACAGTGTGCCCGTTATTTCAAAAAATAACGGGCGGCTAGTTAAGACGCGGGGTAACTATTTTGGGATACCTCTGGTATCCCAAAATAGCCGTGCAGTGTAGACTTACCCTGAAAGGGGACATGATAGCAGTTTTCAAGTATCTAAAAGAGTGTTACAAGGAGGAAGAAAAATTGTTCTCCTTGGCCTCTGATGACAGGACAAGAAGCAATCAACTTAAATTGCATCAAGGGAGGATTAGGTTGGACATTAGGAAAAATTTCCTGTCAGGGTGTTTAAACCCTGGAATAAATTGCTTAGGGAGACTGTGGAATCTCCATCACTGGAGAAATTTAATCCAGTGATAGACATCCATCAGGGATGATCTAGATCATGGTTTCCAAGCTTTTCAGTATCACGCCCACTTTTTGATTTTTGAGAAACCTTTACCTCCCCAACCCCCCCAAAAATAGCAGCAAAACTTGTTGAGCAAGAAAAAAAAAAAAAAAAAAAACTGACCGGGGCCAAAAAAACAGTCGCAACCTCTTTAATTCCCAGGACCACTGTAAGAAAAAAAAAAAAAAAGGTGCCAGTACTCCAGCAGTAAAGCAAAGCAGGCTTTGACACTAATCCCTTTTAAGGTGGCCATTTTGAAGTCTGCCTAGGACACTCCATCCTCCCCCCACCTGAGCCAGCCTGAGCTGCACGTGTTCCGGTGGACGCCTAAGCCAAGAAAAACAGAAAATAACGGACATTTCACATGGTATTTTCTGATTTTTTTTACCGGACAGACCAGGCTCTTTCTTGGGGGAACGGGGAGGGAGTAATGGGGAGGGGGCTGGGTCGCCTTGTGCCCCCCCCCCCGGAATTTCGTCATGCCCCCCAGTTTGAGAATCTAGGATCTAGACAGTGCTTTGTTCTGCTGTGAGGGCAGGGGACTGGACTTGATGATCTCTCTAGGTCCCTTCCAGTTCTAGTATTCTATGATTCAACAGAGCTATAATGAGATTACAAACCATGAGGCAAATCTGGCTAACCTAGCTCACACTATAAACATACAACTGGAGCAGAGCTTGTTTCTCCCTGTGTTCATACAATGCCCAGCAAAATGGGACTTCTAATCCAGCCTGGAGCTTCTAGCTGCTAACAAGTACTAAGACTAAATGGGTAAGAGTAGGTGAATTTCAGATAAAAACTGAAAAAAACCTCTGTCCACGCGGAAAATAGTATTAGAAAATTGTTCCCTGGCAGAAGTAGGCTTGAGAGCAGCACTTCAGCGGCAATTAAAGGACACAAAGCTCCAGGTGTTTCTGACAAATGGGATTGTCATACCCATTCTGTTAACTTGTTTTGCAACTCATCTGGCAAGATCTTGTTTTGTACAATTGAATTCCTAGAATTTAAAATGCAGGCTGCCATTGCCAAGAGGATGCTTTCACTTGACACTAATCTCTTACTACTCATAGTGACATGTAATTGATAGTTGCCTTTGGCTGTAAGCCATTGCATTCCTGAATAGAAATAACCAACAAGGCCAAAATATGCCTATAAGCAGGGCTTGACAAACGGCAGCGAAATCTACTTGCCAGCCCCGCACTGCGCATGCACAAGACCTGCATTGCACATGTGTGCGTTGCCGGTGAATGGGGCAACCCCCTGAAATCTACTCACCACAGGCGAGTAGATTCACTGATTTGTTAAGCCCTGCCTATAAGAGCCCCACACAAAGCTTTCAACACTTAGCAGGGATCAGAGTAAAGAATGGGTTGTGCTAACATGACCTGAGCACTACCACCAACCTGCAGGCTTAGTTCTGTTGAAGAATATGTAGCAGTGGGAAGTGAGGACCATATAAAACAGAGAAGCAAGATTTGCGCATTAATATGATTTTAAAAACCAAATTGTAAAATAAGCATTATCTTAACCTCCAGCATAGCAAGGGAGGATGATGGCTTAGTGACTTCAGTATCACCCTTGAAATATTTAGAATTCTTGCAACCATAGATTTGAATTCATCCTAGATCAGTTCATCCCTTTGTCTTTCCAAGGAAGATATAAAGAGTGCTGTCACGGAGCGTGGGGGAGTCACTGGGCCCAGCAGCCCCATCCACAGCCAGACGTGACTCTAAGCCAGCAAGTAGAACAGAAGGTTTATTGGTTCACAGGGTCACAGTGAAGATCAGACGTCCTGTTACAAGAACCAGGAGCATTCAGTACAATCCATCTTGTAGAAATGGGGGGCCCAGAGCCCCAGCTCGAATCCCTTCTCCCTGAGCTAGTGGAAAAACTAACTCACACCCCCAGCAACAGCTTGCAGTCCTCCAGACTGCCACGCCTCCTCCTTTGTTCAGATTCCTGGGCAAAGTGTCACCTGACTGTACCCTCCATCTAGCTCAGGTGTCAGGCCAGTCTGGACCATTCCCTACCTGCCTTCCCTCAGTTCTTCCCCAAAGATCCCATCCCCCGCTAGGCATATGTGCATGTGCATGCATGCACACATAGTCACTGCAGAGCAGCATAGGACAGTAGGAATTGCATATAGTTCAACAAAGCAAACAGTGAATGCAAAACCACAGTGAACAAAATCCCCACTACATCATAAGCTCAAGATGGTAAATTTAGAGAAAGGTGTAAGTGATTTAAAATAACACCTTTAGAACCAAGATCTTTCCTGCTCTGAATGGATATTAACAGTCTTACAGAACTTTAATTACTTCCCCTCCACCACTGTGCAGTGTTTGTTTGCACTGATGATTTGCTACCCTCCACTTGTGAGGTGGTTGCATTTCAGTCATTCTTTATCTCAGTGTTTCCCAACCAGGGTTCTGCGGAACCCTGGGGTTTCGCAGACCATTGTCAGGGGTTCCGCGAGAAATTGTGGAATAAATAAATAATTTTTTTTTACAATGTAAGCTGAGATATATATAACAGCTCTTTACAAATAAATTTTCTTGACAATAATTTAGCAGTAATTGAATTGCGCTTCCCTCTGTCAACTTTTTCTGGCTAAGCAAACGGTTTTCATAGGTAGGGGTTCCTTGGGATATGAAAAATTATGTTAGGGGTTCCTCCATGGGAAAAAGGTTGGGAATCACTGCTTTATCTGCATGGTTAGTGAAGCTCTTAAAGCTTGCATATAAGAATACAAAATAAGAATGGGCTATTAAATGTGCTCCATGATCTAGAAAACACCCCACATTTATAAGTGAGTTTATTTTCCTTCTTTACAAGACATACACATACAAGTTATTATAAAAAGGCCCAGACATAAACTCTAGCCAATTGCAGTGTAAGTAAAGAGTTGCCAGCAAGAGGAATGTCTCGGATCTACAGTATCTCAGCTTCCAGATGAAATTATTCCACTAGGCATTGTAGGATGAAGAGGACACATTTCCTCCATGACCTGTCCAGTTAGTATGAATAAATTCCCCTGGTTTTGATAATAGTTCATAGGTATGAGCACCAAAGTAATCACGCTGTGCCTAGAAGATGAAACACATGGGAACAACACAGTCAAATACTAACATTACTGAGATATCTTACATACCACCTCATATGCAGTTATCGGAGACACATTTAAAATATATAGGATTTGGGGCAAATCTTATAAAGTAAACATGTCTAGAATGTATATGAGTTTGAATAAAGACTCTAATTATCTTACCCATTACAAAGATAGCTTCCCCAATTATCACCTCTAATATCATTAGCTCACAGACATTTACCTCCCCCCACACCCTCTTCTGTTCTGAAATTTGATTTGTCCTTTTCATAGGTGTTCATTTTTTTAAATTGTATCCTTTGGTATATATGGTTGTGACAATTTTCTTCCACTATTTGATCTGAGGAAGTGGGTCTGGCCCACGAAAGCTCATCACCTAATAAACCATCTTGTTAGTCTTAAAAGTGCTACATAGTCCTGTTTTTTGTTTTAGAATGTATATGTGATCTGTTATACAACAGCAAAACCTTCAGAAAAGCAGATTCAAACTAGAAAATAAAGCAGAACTGCACATGATATTGCTATCAAAGTGTAAAGTAATTTAAGACTGCAGGGTGCAAACCCAGGAGTAATGCACAGAAGATGTGGCAATACAAGAGAGGATTTTGGCAGGATGTCCTACTGATGAGCTTTTTGAGGGGTGGGGCTTAGCTTGGGCTGAAAATGTCAGCCTCGCAGGTCTCAGGTGCTTACCTGAATCAGGTTAGCTGGCAGAATTTCATGCCTGTATCCATCATAAAAAGAAAGTGCTGTAGTGAAGCAGGGCATAGGAATGCCTATCCGGACTCCAGTGCTGATAACACGTCGCCAGGAGTCCTAGTAGTGAAAGAAGAGAAGGAAGGAAACAGATCACTGCTCAGCCAGGGTATGCAGGACTATAGCAGAGGTTACTGATCTCTAGTCTAATGGCAGGCTCCTATTGGCAATAATCATCTGGAATCATGGGAAATTTTCTAGTCAGTATATATAAACAAAAGCAGTCCACAGTGCTGTCCAGCAAGACAGAATTAACAAACACAGTAAAAGCACAACCATATACTATGAACACAGTCAGATCCAAAACTCAGGCAGGAACTCTGTTCTTTTACATATGCAGGGAGAATAACTTTCCAAAGAGAAGAATAAAATAAGAACAACACATCGTTTCAGAAAAGTTATGTGGACAATCCTTGGTTCCATTCACTAAAGTCTCAGCTTTAGTGAATGGAACCAAGCCATGACAAAATTACTTTTTAGTTGGCCAGACAAACAATCTGTTTACAAGCTTCGGGGGGTAGCTGAGTTAGTCTGTATAGGATAAACTTAAAAAAAACAAAGAGTCTGGTAGCACTTTATAGACTAACAAAACATGTAGATGGTATCATGAGCTTTCGTGGGCACAGCCCACTTCTTCAGATGACCGGTCATCTGAAGAAGTGGGCTGTGCCCACGAAAGCTCATGATACCATCTACATGTTTTGTTAGTCTATAAAGTGCTACCAGACTCTTTGTTTTTTTTAAAGCTTAATGTGTTTACAGTTCTTACTGGACTCATCACCTGCCTAGAACAGAATACTTTTATTAGGACAGCCCTAGATCTAGTGAATTAAGAGCCTAGTACATTGTTGGTACTATGCTATTATATACACTAGCAACAGCAGAGTTTTTAGCTATGAAACTGTAATCCATCTGCACAGCAGGCCCCTTCCAAAGCAAAAGGCATGATCAGAGGTGAGAATGAGCACCTTGGCAGACAAAAACAAAAAAGTTTCTAGGACTACAATTTTTCCAAGTTGCTGCACTCCTGAGGATTTCACATGAAAGTAGAGTGGCAAACTTAAGAGTTTGTGTTTGCTACTAATGGAGATCCCAGGATGAGGAAATGGTTGAATGGGTGTCAATAAGTTACATGTTAGAAACTGATGAGTCAGTTTCTGAGGATGAATTAATGTGAATTAAGGGCAAAGCTACAAAGAACTGAATCTCTTTGCCTGTGTATTATTACTGCTTTGTGACACTCAGAGACGTTTGTTTCATTTGACACTATGGCAAATCTATGAAGAGTTGTAGTACATAATCACCTCTAAGTCCTATTGTCTAGGAAGAGTCCAGTTCAGCTCTCAACACGTGTGGATGCCAAAATTATAGGGAAGTACACTTTACCCATTACGGTCAAATTTACGCTTTGTTATTTAGATATAATACCTCCATCTTTCTGATTAGATGAAAATGAAAGGTCTTGATTTCTTGTAGGCATTTTTACAATAGTTAACACCAGGACAAATTCTAATTTGAATAATTACATTTTGCCTCAACTAAGGTTATGATGATGCAGTTTCAACTAGTTATGATAATATGTTTCACTTCCTGTTCAATGTTGCACGCGATGGTAATGCTAAACCTGGCATGTCCCATGAAGGAGATGCTGCATTTCAGCGGTGGATGAGTGATTCATAGATGTACACATTGTATTTGCACACATGTGCACACACAATCCCAAAGCGCTTTAGGATTACCTAAAGCGTTTTTGGATTAAGGGTATTATATAGAAGATATTTTAAAGACTCTTTCTCTGCTCTCTCTTTTTTTTGGACCTAATCACACTACAGAAGGCGTGCTTGAGGGCACAAGAATATACTAGGTTTGTAAATTGTTGCCTTTATGCTCTCCTTGAAAACACACACCTGACAGTCCTCCACAGCCTTCTTAAAGAAGTTGTCCAGTAACAGGTTCTGGAGATCAGGGTTTCGGTCAAAAGCATCTTTGATCTTCCCCAGGAACGCACTAAACAGAACAGACACAAATCTGGAATTAGGCATTAGTGGTGGGAACTGTGAATAGCTAAACCCAAGGTACTAAGAGGCAGCCAGTAAGGCACAGTGTTTACAGAACTCTATCAAATTCCAAATACCAGCACCAAGGGACAAAGGACAAAGTGAATAAAATGAAAAGAAGAGCAGCACTGGCTGAGCACCAATAAACTTGACATCTGGTTGCAGTGAGATCCTGTGCTGATGTAGGTAGCAGCATCCCAGTATCATATTAGCAAATAAGATACAGGAGATCTTCCACAGAGATCTCTGAGTGGATCAGTCTGGCACCAGCTAAGCCAAACAGCTCTCTAATCAGTGTTCCCTGCCCAAATGCTCTCTTACCTTCTGATGATGCAGCCTCCCCTCCACATCAATGCAATGCCACCATAGTTAATTGTCCAGCCAAATTCTTTGGCTGCCTGTCTCAGCAGCATGAAGCCTTGAGCATAGGAGATAATCTTGGAGGCATAAAGAGCCTAGAGAGAGGCAAATCAGATTTAGGGAAGCGCTTCACAAACTCTGATGGAAACATTTTACAATCTGACCCACAAGCAGAGCACACACTTCCCACTAATGTTTGTCTCAGAAGCAACACTCCAGTTGTATGTAAGAAATTCACTTCCTGGATTCCAAGCACTCCTAACTACTACATCTGATGATCTAATCTCTCAATCTCACACTTCAAAAGAATGTAGTTGATCCAGGTCAATAAATATTTGACAAATCTCTCTCCTATGCAGTTCAGATAGCTAACCTCAAAATATCATCATTTTCGTGTGTGTGTGTTTTCCCCCTGAATGCACACACACATCTTTTTTACTCCTTTTATTCCCTGGACCTTTTGCCAGCCAGATTTTCCTGCAATAAATAAATATTTGGCACTTCTGTAGCACATTTCATCTGAGAAGATCACTGTGTTTTTTAAGTGTTAATATATGTAGCCTCTGCAGTGGGCAGAAAGTGAAATTCCATCTCCATTATACAGCTAGGGAAATGGAAACATAGAAAGATTATGTAAGGCACAAGATCACACAGAGTCAGTGACTAGACTGGGAAGAGCAACTGGTTCCCTGTCTTGTGCCTGTATCACCCTTCATCCCAACTGGGATCTTTCTCTGGTTCATGAACAAGTTCTCCATTAACCTTATGTTATTGCATCTCAGTTGGCACAGAGTGGAAGAAATGGGCAAGACATGGTAGGAGATGCTCAAGAACAGGATCCATAGCTGGAGAAAGGGAGAGCACAATAACAGAACCAGCACGTCCCATTTGTAGAACCCTGTGGATACAAAATTTATATCTGCATTCACATCTGTATCTGCAAAAATGAGCCGTGAATATCCACACTGACATCTGCAGATGCAAATACCCACAGATATAAAGCTAATATATAGATTTGCAGGGCTCTACCCATTTGGAGTCCCTGTCTCTTGGCATCCAAATTCACTTTGTGCCTGCAATTCTAATGGATAGATCTGGCTAGGAGCCCTGACTCACCTTGCGAATATCTTCCAGAAATACCTTCTTGTCCTCACGGAATGGAGTAATTTTGGGCCCATCCAACCGTTTGCTGGCTTGAACCCTCTCATCCTTGAGGGAAGATAAGCACCGTGCAAAAACAGCCTCACCTTTACCCAGAGAAGGAAAGAAAAGACATTTTAGCAAGCACAAGCCAAACAATGAGGTCTTTCTAGCCTATCACACACATAGCCAAGGCATGGAACAGGTGTTTATAGAGATGGGATGACTGCAGCAGACCACACTGCCATGTAAGGAAGGCCAGGCTTAGGAATGACAGAGGAATCCCACTGTCTACACCAAAGGGAATTTCCTCTGTCTACAACAGGGATGAGGAACTTTTTTTGGGTTGAGGCCGCTAACCCACAGAAAAATCAGTCACACAAGTGAGAAGCAAAAAAAGAAAAAAACAACAAACTCTCATGGATGTGGCCCCCAACTGAGAAGGAACAAGATGCTCCCACATTCCCCTCACACACCAGAGCCTAGGGAGGTCCATGCTAGTAGATTTTGTGTGCACCAACCTCGCGGTAGGGTGGCGGCGGGGGGGCTGGAGCATCAGTGCAGGCTCCCCAATGCTGAGGGGAGGAGTCCTGAGCCTTAGGGGTCAGGTCCATGCAAGCCAGGGGCCACATCCGGTCCTCGGGCCTTAGGTTCCCCACCCCTGGTTTACAGGAAGAGGACTTGATATCAAACACCCACTGCCAGCTGATTTATATTGTGGGGCAAAGTCTCCACAATCTAATCTAGCCAGAAACTCATATTCAATGGAGGACTAGCAGAAATGCAGAGGGGGGAGGATGTTAAAATAGCAGAAAGTGAGGGGTGGAGGAGGAGAGAGATGGATCAAGTGGGAACAGCCCACACTCTTGAGCTCTGGCTTCCAGGGCACCATTTACTTCGGTTTTTGGATGAATTATCTGAACGTCAGGGAGGACGGATTGATCAGCCAGAAGCATAGTCATTTGACTAGAGCAGTTTGGAGGCAGCATTGCTTAGTCCGAATGAGAGTTCTTAAAACAACATCAGTAGGGCCCTACCAAATTCATAGCCATGCAAAATGCCTCAGAGACCTTGAAAATCTTGTGTCCTCCTGTGAAATATGGCCTTTTGTATGCCTTTACCCTATACTATATAGATGTCATGGGGGAAAGCAGCATTTCTCAAATTGGGGGTCCTGATCCACAAGGGAGTTGCAGCAGGATCACAAGGTTATTTTAGGAGGGTCATGGTATTGTCACCCTTATATCTGTACTGCCTTCAGAACTGAGCAGCTGGAGAAGTGTTTGTAATGTTGGCCGGGTGTCCAGTTCAGAAAACAGCACCCCCTCAGCAGCAATGCACGAGTCAGGGTGGCAAAACCATACCTATGTCGCACTTACTTCTGTACTGCTGCTTTCAGAGCTGGTGGCCAGAGTGGTGGTAGCTGATTAAGGGCCCAGCTCTGCAGACACAAGTAAGGGTGGGAATAGTGGCAATACCATACCATGCCATCCTTACTTCTGTGCAGCTGCTGACAGGCAGCTCTGCCTTCAGAGCTGAATTCCTGGCCAGCAGCTGCTGCTCTCCAGCTGTGCAGAAGTAAGGGTAGCAATACCTTACAATTCCAACACCATGAAATTTCAAATGTTAAGATCTGAAATAATGAAATTTACCATTTTAAAAATCCTATGATTGTAAAATTGACCAAACCGACTTTGAATGTATAGGTCCCCGAACATAAGGTATCTACTACATGATACAAATCCTGGACAGAAATAATCAATATTTCCTTATTTGTGAAAGGAACTTGAATCTTTTGGCCTCAGTTTCCTTCATCAGTAAAACAGAGATAATTTTATATACAGTATATTTTAGGGGAGACATGGGGTTAGAAGAGTAAAATAATACTTGCAAAGCGCTTTGAAAGTGAAAAGCTTTTACACAAATACCAAGTGTGATGCACATTAATTGGAGATGCTTTTCTAAGAAATCCTCAGCATACACAAAAAAGCTGCAGACAAACATTACAAATAAATCTGCTTCATAGGGGGAGAATTTTTTTTTATCTGGCACTCAGAAGCCCATGCAATAGCTGTACAACATCACTAAGCAAAGTAGGGAGCTGCATTCCTCAGAGTGCTGTAGAAGCAAACAGTATCATCAACCTTTGCCTAGACGCCAAAACCCTGAATTCTTGTCCTGGCAGAGAAGTATAGGCAGAACTAACTCACAGATATGTTTCTTTAAAGTGTATTCATTTGTAATTTAAGCCTGTACAGATATTCAGGGAAAAAACTGGGAATTTAAATAATTTCCTTTACTTTTCAGCGTTTGAAGTCACCTTTCAGGGAACTGACATAACTATGAAAGCACATAAGTCTTTCCTTCTTCCTTCACAATGAATTTCCAGTTACAGAAAAGCCTTTCTTTCATACTCCTGTGAATGAGTCATAGATTTGCACAGAACTTCCCCATGGTAGGCTATCATACTTTATCATAATCAGAACTAGCCACTCCTTTTCATTCTTGCCCAACCCGTTTCCTTCTGCTTTGCAGTGGAGACAGCATGACTGCTATTGCAAAAAGAAAATTGCAAGTCACCCTGATGCAAGGAGATAGATGTAGCAACTGCACTAAGAATGTCCAATATTTGCACAAGGGCTGTTTGAAGCATTAATTCCACAAGCCACTCCTGCAAGACAGAATTATATTTGGAAAATGTTTCTATCCTTGATCCTTGCAAAAGCAGGAGCCCAAGCAAAGGAACTTTACTAAACCAATGGCATACAAAACATTTTAAATGTAAACAAAAAATTTGGAGATACGAAAGGTCTGGTACAATCTATAAATTATTCAGAAAATAGCAGCCTCAGCACCTTACTTTCTAAAAGTCTTTTTTGTTGCAGTACAACCAAGCTTCTCCAATAAATTGGATTCAGCTGGCCACAGAGGAAGTGATCAATATGATTGATCTTCTAACACAAGAGGGCTTAGTAAAACCAAAAGGAGGGAAATGAGATGGAGGGGGAAAGAGCAAGAAAAACATAGCAAACTCTGACAACAGATGGAACTTCCCATAGTTAAAGTCCATACTAGGGCTTGTTGCATGAATTTAAACACATCTGTAACAGTTTGGATGTCCATCCCTAATGCTCCTGTAATTTTACAGCTGTGCTCAGAAACACTATGCTAGAGACAACCATCAGTGGTAGATAGGTTATTATGTGGCTAGCTATTTTCAGGCACACTTTAGGCCTGACTAAAAGGCTACTGAAGTCACTGCAAAGATTCTCACTCTATTCAATGGGCTTTGGGTCAGACCCTTGGCTAATCAAAGCAGTTAAAAAAAATTCTGTTCAAATGGCATAGAATAACCATGTGAACTGCCATCAACTTGGAACACAGATGGCAACTATGCTTCTTGCACATACATGCTTCAAATCCATTTTCAAAGACAGCTGGGGTTAGTGCTCTTCAAGCCATAATGTGGTCCCTATCTAGTCAAATCGACCCTGTTTCACTCAAGCTCTGCTAAAACTGTCACTTGGAAATAAGGGGGGAGGGAACGTTACATGGATGGTGGAAAAATAATTCCTACATCTTCTGGAAGATGCAAGTTTTTATAAAGCTCTAGCATAATAGGAGTTTCTTATTCCACACATTTTCACAGCTGTGATATGATTCAGTATGAGAAGGTGGAGGCGGGAGGATAGCTGACTGAACAGAGCAGAACCAAACTAGAGTGGTAGATATTAAAAACCCTCTCCCACATCTTGATCTGTCATGGAGTCACCACCAGTGAAGGACGTAGCAAATACCATGGTGAGGGGCAAAGAGATGTTGACAGTTAAAGGGGGACAGAAATCATTAGTGAGAACTCCCTCAGAAGATAAGCAAAAAGCAGGGAGAAGTTTGCCCTCTTGTTAAAGGACGGAGGACCTTAACCGTTAGACCAAAGACTGCAGGGACAGAAGCACCTTCACCACAGGCTTATCCCCTCTATTGCTAAGTGGTCCATGTGGTCCACATACTGTTAGACCAGCAGCACAAGAGACAATACCACCAGCCAGCCAGACAAGTCAGTTACCAATGAGTGTGACAGGAACTCCGTATTCCAGGGCTGAGATGGCTGTCCACTTCCCAGTGCCTTTTTGACCTGCACTGTCCCTGATCTTTGGGAGCAGGTGTTTGCCATCGGAGTCCCTGAACTTGAAGATGTTGGCGGTGATTTCAATCAGGAAAGAATCCAGCTCTGTCTTATTCCATTCTCCAAAAACCTTGATGGAGAAACCAATAATGAGATTGCAAGAGGGACACCCAATTACTGGCACGCTTCAAACACAAGGATGATCTTAGCCCATTTTCTGGCAGCTACTTAACAGCTCAGAAGAGGAACTCACGTGTCCCCATTACTCTTGGTGCATGGAGCTGCAAAGCAGCCACCTCCAAACGGAAGCACACAAGCATACTCTGGCCTGATGCTACAATCTTGCGCCTTACAGGGAGTGGAAACACCTCATTCCCTGACACCGCACTCTTGACTATTTATGGCTCATCCCAAGATGGATCAGGTCTCTAAGAATTATCTACCCACATTATTGAACTCCATCCTCTTAATGGTTCTCTGTGAACTGCAATATTGACTCATGTGGAGGCAGGTCATTAACTTCTTCAGCCCAAGTCAAGGAATGAGAAATAAGTAGAAACGCTTCAAAACCCACCAAGACAGAGTCTTTCCCAGGGCAGGAGGCACATGGGAAAATTAAAGATCAGACTCAATGGTCTAAAAGTGTTCAAGGTCTAGGACGGATCCATAGACATTGCCCCATTGGCTGGCCCTGTCAGAAGATCTGCTAAAGGATTCTATTGTAGTCATTAGCTATGCTCCATCCTAATGGCCTTCATAGAATCATAGAACAATAGAACTGAAAGGGACCTCAAGAGGTCATCAATCCACACTGACATCTGCAGATGCAAATACCCACAGATATAAAGCTAATATATAGATTTGCAGGGCTCTACCCATTTGGAGTCCCTGTCTCTTGGCATCCAAATTCACTTTGTGCCTGCAATTCTAATGGATAGATCTGGCTAGGAGCCCTGACTCACCTTGCGAATATCTTCCAGAAATACCTTCTTGTCCTCACGGAATGGAGTAATTTTGGGCCCATCCAACCGTTTGCTGGCTTGAACCCTCTCATCCTTGAGGGAAGATAAGCACCGTGCAAAAACAGCCTCACCTTTACCCAGAGAAGGAAAGAAAAGACATTTTAGCAAGCACAAGCCAAACAATGAGGTCTTTCTAGCCTATCACACACATAGCCAAGGCATGGAACAGGTGTTTATAGAGATGGGATGACTGCAGCAGACCACACTGCCATGTAAGGAAGGCCAGGCTTAGGAATGACAGAGGAATCCCACTGTCTACACCAAAGGGAATTTCCTCTGTCTACAACAGGGATGAGGAACTTTTTTTGGGTTGAGGCCGCTAACCCACAGAAAAATCAGTCACACAAGTGAGAAGCAAAAAAAGAAAAAAACAACAAACTCTCATGGATGTGGCCCCCAACTGAGAAGGAACAAGATGCTCCCACATTCCCCTCACACACCAGAGCCTAGGGAGGTCCATGCTAGTAGATTTTGTGTGCACCAACCTCGCGGTAGGGTGGCGGCGGGGGGGCTGGAGCATCAGTGCAGGCTCCCCAATGCTGAGGGGAGGAGTCCTGAGCCTTAGGGGTCAGGTCCATGCAAGCCAGGGGCCACATCCGGTCCTCGGGCCTTAGGTTCCCCACCCCTGGTTTACAGGAAGAGGACTTGATATCAAACACCCACTGCCAGCTGATTTATATTGTGGGGCAAAGTCTCCACAATCTAATCTAGCCAGAAACTCATATTCAATGGAGGACTAGCAGAAATGCAGAGGGGGGAGGATGTTAAAATAGCAGAAAGTGAGGGGTGGAGGAGGAGAGAGATGGATCAAGTGGGAACAGCCCACACTCTTGAGCTCTGGCTTCCAGGGCACCATTTACTTCGGTTTTTGGATGAATTATCTGAACGTCAGGGAGGACGGATTGATCAGCCAGAAGCATAGTCATTTGACTAGAGCAGTTTGGAGGCAGCATTGCTTAGTCCGAATGAGAGTTCTTAAAACAACATCAGTAGGGCCCTACCAAATTCATAGCCATGCAAAATGCCTCAGAGACCTTGAAAATCTTGTGTCCTCCTGTGAAATATGGCCTTTTGTATGCTTTTACCCTATACTATATAGATGTCATGGGGGAAAGCAGCATTTCTCAAATTGGGGGTCCTGATCCACAAGGGAGTTGCAGCAGGATCACAAGGTTATTTTAGGAGGGTCATGGTATTGTCACCCTTATATCTGTACTGCCTTCAGAACTGAGCAGCTGGAGAAGTGTTTGTAATGTTGGCCGGGTGTCCAGTTCAGAAAACAGCACCCCCTCAGCAGCAATGCACGAGTCAGGGTGGCAAAACCATACCTATGTCGCACTTACTTCTGTACTGCTGCTTTCAGAGCTGGTGGCCAGAGTGGTGGTAGCTGATTAAGGGCCCAGCTCTGCAGACACAAGTAAGGGTGGGAATAGTGGCAATACCATACCATGCCATCCTTACTTCTGTGCAGCTGCTGACAGGCAGCTCTGCCTTCAGAGCTGAATTCCTGGCCAGCAGCTGCTGCTCTCCAGCTGTGCAGAAGTAAGGGTAGCAATACCTTACAATTCCAACACCATGAAATTTCAAATGTTAAGATCTGAAATAATGAAATTTACCATTTTAAAAATCCTATGATTGTAAAATTGACCAAACCGACTTTGAATGTATAGGTCCCCGAACATAAGGTATCTACTACATGATACAAATCCTGGACAGAAATAATCAATATTTCCTTATTTGTGAAAGGAACTTGAATCTTTTGGCCTCAGTTTCCTTCATCAGTAAAACAGAGATAATTTTATATACAGTATATTTTAGGGGAGACATGGGGTTAGAAGAGTAAAATAATACTTGCAAAGCGCTTTGAAAGTGAAAAGCTTTTACACAAATACCAAGTGTGATGCACATTAATTGGAGATGCTTTTCTAAGAAATCCTCAGCATACACAAAAAAGCTGCAGACAAACATTACAAATAAATCTGCTTCATAGGGGGAGAATTTTTTTTTATCTGGCACTCAGAAGCCCATGCAATAGCTGTACAACATCACTAAGCAAAGTAGGGAGCTGCATTCCTCAGAGTGCTGTAGAAGCAAACAGTATCATCAACCTTTGCCTAGACGCCAAAACCCTGAATTCTTGTCCTGGCAGAGAAGTATAGGCAGAACTAACTCACAGATATGTTTCTTTAAAGTGTATTCATTTGTAATTTAAGCCTGTACAGATATTCAGGGAAAAAACTGGGAATTTAAATAATTTCCTTTACTTTTCAGCGTTTGAAGTCACCTTTCAGGGAACTGACATAACTATGAAAGCACATAAGTCTTTCCTTCTTCCTTCACAATGAATTTCCAGTTACAGAAAAGCCTTTCTTTCATACTCCTGTGAATGAGTCATAGATTTGCACAGAACTTCCCCATGGTAGGCTATCATACTTTATCATAATCAGAACTAGCCACTCCTTTTCATTCTTGCCCAACCCGTTTCCTTCTGCTTTGCAGTGGAGACAGCATGACTGCTATTGCAAAAAGAAAATTGCAAGTCACCCTGATGCAAGGAGATAGATGTAGCAACTGCACTAAGAATGTCCAATATTTGCACAAGGGCTGTTTGAAGCATTAATTCCACAAGCCACTCCTGCAAGACAGAATTATATTTGGAAAATGTTTCTATCCTTGATCCTTGCAAAAGCAGGAGCCCAAGCAAAGGAACTTTACTAAACCAATGGCATACAAAACATTTTAAATGTAAACAAAAAATTTGGAGATACGAAAGGTCTGGTACAATCTATAAATTATTCAGAAAATAGCAGCCTCAGCACCTTACTTTCTAAAAGTCTTTTTTGTTGCAGTACAACCAAGCTTCTCCAATAAATTGGATTCAGCTGGCCACAGAGGAAGTGATCAATATGATTGATCTTCTAACACAAGAGGGCTTAGTAAAACCAAAAGGAGGGAAATGAGATGGAGGGGGAAAGAGCAAGAAAAACATAGCAAACTCTGACAACAGATGGAACTTCCCATAGTTAAAGTCCATACTAGGGCTTGTTGCATGAATTTAAACACATCTGTAACAGTTTGGATGTCCATCCCTAATGCTCCTGTAATTTTACAGCTGTGCTCAGAAACACTATGCTAGAGACAACCATCAGTGGTAGATAGGTTATTATGTGGCTAGCTATTTTCAGGCACACTTTAGGCCTGACTAAAAGGCTACTGAAGTCACTGCAAAGATTCTCACTCTATTCAATGGGCTTTGGGTCAGACCCTTGGCTAATCAAAGCAGTTAAAAAAAATTCTGTTCAAATGGCATAGAATAACCATGTGAACTGCCATCAACTTGGAACACAGATGGCAACTATGCTTCTTGCACATACATGCTTCAAATCCATTTTCAAAGACAGCTGGGGTTAGTGCTCTTCAAGCCATAATGTGGTCCCTATCTAGTCAAATCGACCCTGTTTCACTCAAGCTCTGCTAAAACTGTCACTTGGAAATAAGGGGGGAGGGAACGTTACATGGATGGTGGAAAAATAATTCCTACATCTTCTGGAAGATGCAAGTTTTTATAAAGCTCTAGCATAATAGGAGTTTCTTATTCCACACATTTTCACAGCTGTGATATGATTCAGTATGAGAAGGTGGAGGCGGGAGGATAGCTGACTGAACAGAGCAGAACCAAACTAGAGTGGTAGATATTAAAAACCCTCTCCCACATCTTGATCTGTCATGGAGTCACCACCAGTGAAGGACGTAGCAAATACCATGGTGAGGGGCAAAGAGATGTTGACAGTTAAAGGGGGACAGAAATCATTAGTGAGAACTCCCTCAGAAGATAAGCAAAAAGCAGGGAGAAGTTTGCCCTCTTGTTAAAGGACGGAGGACCTTAACCGTTAGACCAAAGACTGCAGGGACAGAAGCACCTTCACCACAGGCTTATCCCCTCTATTGCTAAGTGGTCCATGTGGTCCACATACTGTTAGACCAGCAGCACAAGAGACAATACCACCAGCCAGCCAGACAAGTCAGTTACCAATGAGTGTGACAGGAACTCCGTATTCCAGGGCTGAGATGGCTGTCCACTTCCCAGTGCCTTTTTGACCTGCACTGTCCCTGATCTTTGGGAGCAGGTGTTTGCCATCGGAGTCCCTGAACTTGAAGATGTTGGCGGTGATTTCAATCAGGAAAGAATCCAGCTCTGTCTTATTCCATTCTCCAAAAACCTTGATGGAGAAACCAATAATGAGATTGCAAGAGGGACACCCAATTACTGGCACGCTTCAAACACAAGGATGATCTTAGCCCATTTTCTGGCAGCTACTTAACAGCTCAGAAGAGGAACTCACGTGTCCCCATTACTCTTGGTGCATGGAGCTGCAAAGCAGCCACCTCCAAACGGAAGCACACAAGCATACTCTGGCCTGATGCTACAATCTTGCGCCTTACAGGGAGTGGAAACACCTCATTCCCTGACACCGCACTCTTGACTATTTATGGCTCATCCCAAGATGGATCAGGTCTCTAAGAATTATCTACCCACATTATTGAACTCCATCCTCTTAATGGTTCTCTGTGAACTGCAATATTGACTCATGTGGAGGCAGGTCATTAACTTCTTCAGCCCAAGTCAAGGAATGAGAAATAAGTAGAAACGCTTCAAAACCCACCAAGACAGAGTCTTTCCCAGGGCAGGAGGCACATGGGAAAATTAAAGATCAGACTCAATGGTCTAAAAGTGTTCAAGGTCTAGGACGGATCCATAGACATTGCCCCATTGGCTGGCCCTGTCAGAAGATCTGCTAAAGGATTCTATTGTAGTCATTAGCTATGCTCCATCCTAATGGCCTTCATAGAATCATAGAACAATAGAACTGAAAGGGACCTCAAGAGGTCATCAAGTCCAGTCCCTGCCCTCCCAGCAGGACCAAGCACCACCTAGATCATCCCTGACAGGTGTCTGTCTAACCTGCTCTTAAATATCTCCAGTGATGGAGATTCCATAACCTCCCTAGGCAATTTATTCCAGTGTTTAACCACCCTGACAGGCAGGAAGCTTTTCCTGATGTCCAACCTAAACCTTCCTTGCTACAGTTTAAGCCTATTGCTTCTTGTCCTATCCTCAGAGGCCAAGGAGAACAATTTTTCTCCTTCCTCCTTATGTCACCCACTAGGGCTCAGGGCAGAACTGAAACAGAG